AAGTTTCAGAATATACCGTTTCTATAAACCCAATCCTTGGTTCTGTTTCTTCTTGGGATGGATATCCAGAACGAAAGTGAGAAAACATTAGTGAACAGTTCTGACAAACATCAGCAACCGCCTAGTTACTAAAGCTGTCGTGACCAACCAACCCTTCTATCAGCACACCGGAAATTTTCCGTCCTATTTAAGTCCTATTCGAGTCCTCTCGGGACGGTACATACTCAATTTTATTGTAATACAAAAAATGAACCGAATTATTACTGGAATGATAAATTATATACCGAAAACCAATAAAACTATGTATTAGTAGCGGTTCAGTACGCTCGCAGTTTGTTTAAACGAGCTGGTTTTACATGCTTGTGTTTGGTACTAACAACAACTACGGGATGGAATCTACTTTTGTTGTGAACTTGGTGATCGATAATTGTGCTGTATTATTCAACTGTGTATCACTATCTGGATTGCACTATCGGAAAGAACTTCCCGGGTGAAACTAACATCATATTATGTGAGCAAATACAAAGATGGATTCAAAAGGCCCGGGAAAAGACACATAGAAGAGAGTTTAACAAAGAAAACCAACCAGAAGAATTGTGTGATGGCCAGTGAGTACATCATGTACAGGTTTTATGTCAAATGCACGTTTCAATGTGCCGTTTGTATTATTTATTGTATTGTAATAGGGGGTTTGGGTGGTTAACATCATAAGTGGATTTCACTTTTCAACGTCAGGGTAATGCACAATAAACTAACATCTGTAGGGATTAAATTTAGGTACATATCATGCAGTTCCTAAGTGACGAAGCATGCGCAAGCTTGGAGAAATGTAAGCAACGCTAAGTAGAACGTAAGGCATTCCTTTCGGGAGCCGGCCCACAGAGTCCCATTAGAGTTCTATCTGAGTCCTATCCGAGTCCCATGGGTGTCTCATACGATTCCCATTTGGGAGAATCCCATTAGAGTCCCGTTTATGGTGCAAACGGACTACAATGGGACTTAGATAGGACTCAAATATGACTCGTATAGGACTCGAATAGGACGGGTGTGCGGATTGGGTCCCATTCTACATGTACTCTTTCTTCTGTGCATCTCATTTTTTTCACACCAAGGGAACTTCTCTGGTGACACGTGTTTGCTTTCACTTTACGTACGCTTGCTAACGCTTCCGTATCTCCCTTTTGCTCCGCAGGTCGTAACAATACAACCCGTCCTCCGTTTCATGAATCGTCTCGTTTTATTTTCGTACGAACGTCCATTTGCAATATAGATGCATTAGCTCGGGGTATCAATAAGCCTGGGCCTACAGACTGGTGAGCCCCCTTGTTTCATTTTACTTACGTTGGAAATATTATTTTTCGGGGAACTTTAATTTCTGTAGTCACATTTATAATAAACTGTCTGCACATTTATTTTTACGGGTCTGCTCTCGTTCATATAATTTTAGATTATTTTTATCTATAGTTCGTCGTTTACCGGTCATTTATTATTGGATTTTTCCACTGTCGCTTTTCCAACGTATTTTTTCTCTTAGGCGCTATTCGGTCAGATTATTGTAGTCGGTTCGACAACCTCATATTATATATTCACGATAAATTATGACTAGCCCCGATCATAAGTATCCCACAGACAGCGGAGCACTCTGGGCCTACATCAGGGCACCCGATTTCATGCCGGAGGACCCGGAGGCGTTCCTCGTACTTCTGGAATCGCGATTTAACGAAGCCCGTATCACCGAGCAACTTCCACGTTACCATAAGCTGTTGTCCGTGATACCGCGTGATATGCTGAGCAAATTCAGGGATATATATATGAATACCCCCTCACACAACGCAAACGATGTGCTCAAAGAAGCATTCCTCCGTCGTCTGGCCATTTCTGATGAGAAGCGTATCCAGCTTCTGCTATCTTGGATACAACTTGGAGACTTCAAGCCATCCCAGTTACTACAACAGATGCGTGCGTTGGTAGGCAACACAACGTTATACGAAACCTTCAAAATCATGAAGGGAATATCGGGAATAGAAGCGGACAGTCTGTTTACATTAGCTCCTCAACACGGCACTAGGGGTCATGAGCTCAAGCTAATGAAGCAGAGG